GTCACAGGATGTTACTCGCTTTAACACGTTTACAAGTCCAGTTACTAGTATTCACAGTCCTGGGTGAATGTCTCGTCCTGGATACCCGACCTCTGCGTTGATCCCTGTTTCCCAGAGCCGCCCCCCCTCCACCCCCAAAGGCTGCAGTCCCTGCAGTGTGGGTTCAGGCCTCTGAGGGTGGCACAAGATGCCACTTTGAGGAGCACTGAGCTGAACCTGAGGAGATCCAGGCCCAGCTGGGTGGAGAGACTGCAGGCTCTGTACAGCGAGATGCCCAGCATGGAAGCAGGACCCGGCAGGGCTGGGAACCCACTGTAAATGCATCCTTTGCTTCAGCCAAGAGAGGAGTAGGCCCGCCCTCCCCAGAAGCCAGAGCCCCTGGCTGCCAGGCTGCCCCGCTCACGCTCAGATGAGCTCCAGGCTGAGGTGCGCTGGGCGGCGGGGCCACAAAGCACTCGTCAGTCAGCCGTGATCCAATTAGTCAAGGTCATCAATCATGTCCTGGCCAGACTCGGATCAGCCGACACATGTCAGTCACAGACTCATCTCCAGTCCTTCCAGGAGCGGGAGCAAAATAAATGTCAGTCACGTGGTGCCCACAGGGAGCAAACTGCCCAGTGAGGAAGGGGTGCCAGCCGTGCGCCCCCAGACCCAGCAGGAGAGAGGTAACTGTGGGAATCAGGAAGGCGCTCAGTTCCTGTGCCTGCTGCCTGCTGGTCACCTTCTGTTCATGGTCTGGTCCCTTCTGTGTTCTGAGTGTGCGTGGACACGTGGGGTGTGGGTGCCAAATTTGGGGGTACAAATACAGTGGAGCTTCCTCCAATTCAACAGATTCCCCAGTCAACATGCCGCATGACAAAGGTGAGTAAGTGAAACTTGTTTATCTCCTGTGGGCCCCGCACACTTCTGCTTATCCAATTGTGCACCCGAGGAAGGTTTGCAGGCAGAGGGTGGAATTTCAGCATAATCAGAGTCAGAATCAGTCATAATGGGACCATGTGACAGGAGGCAGGGGTCTTGGGGACAATAGCTCCCCGAGCCCAACACAGGGCGTCTGGAGTGTGTGTGCTCATGGAGGAAGATGGCACGTTAACTCTCACATGCTTTCAGTCACCTCTCTCCCCTCTCTGACCTCTGACGGGATATAATCGAATTTGGATGAATTAAATGTTTGTATTCACATCATGGGTGAAATGCGAGCTGACTCCTGTAGTGTGTGGAAATAGGCTGCCCCGGCAGAGATCAGGGCCAGAGCAGACACCAGGCACACACCTGCCTAACAGGACTTGGGCCTCGGATTATTCTCGCAGTGTTTCCTGGCCTGTGGGCTGCAGTGCAGGGCGCTAAGGCCATAGGGCGCCAGAGCTGGCTGAGCCCACGCCTCTGGGGAGAGGGTTCAGACTCGGACTCAAAGCCCAGCTTCTCCCTCTGCATCCAGTGACCTCACACCAGTCTCTGGGAAATTGCCCTGGGGCAGTGGGCTAGTGCATTTGCTCCAGGGAAGCTGGCAAATGCCCCAGATCTGAGGTCTCTCCTCTGCCCCACCCACCTCTCCCTGCGAGCCAATTTCCTGCCTGGGGATGAAAGCGGGAGGTCTGTGCTTGGGGTCCATGCCTTTGGTGCTGATGGAGGGTATGGGGACACACTGGAGATCTCATAGTTGGGGCCATTTGTGGTTTACAATGTTGTACATGATTTAGGGGGTAGGGTCACACCTCCGCAGATGCGTGTTACCACGCCAGCCCCACCATCCAGACACACGAGTCCTTTACCATGGGCCCCTGTGCCCCCTCCTCCCAAACCTCCCTCCCCCCCACTAGTAGCCTCAACTCCGCAGTCGTCTCTCTAGGGTTTATTTGGCTTCATTGTCAATTCCTTTGTGGGTTTGTTGTTTGTTGATTTATTCTCTCTCTATTCCACATATGAGTAAAATTAGCTGGTGTTTGTCTTTCTCCTTCTAACTTATTTAACTTAGCATAATCCCCTCCAGTTGCATCCATGTTTTACTGGAGCCATTTTGAAGATTGGTTGGAAAATAATGGCAATCTAAGAGACCACTTTTCATATACTTAGAGTTTTATTGTAACAGAGACCGTTCATTGCACTCTCTACATCCACTCCTTCCTCCTTTGTATTAAAATCCTAGGTTGTTAGGGAGATAATGCATTCAACTAAAAGGCTACATTTTCTAGTCTCCTTTTCAGCTAGAGATGGTCAATGAGGTCTAAGTTACTGGGTAGAATTTCTGGGAACTCTTAAATGGGATTGGCTTGATTTGGATGAGAGTTTCTCTAACATCTTTCTTTTCTTCTTCTTTTTGACTGGAACACAGATGTGATGGCTGGAGCACCAGCATCTGTTTTGGACCATCATAAGTTTTCTGTACCAATTTACTGATGTTCAAACTTGCTCAAAGAAGTTAGACCATTTGGCCAAAGTCATACAAATAGGAAATAGCAGAAGTAGGATTCAGATACAGATCTACTGGGCTTCCTGTATTCTGTCTTTAGAAAGAAGCAGGCAAAGCCAGGGAGAGCTGACAGTGGCTCAGGTATGATCTATAGTTGAGGGAAGAACACTCCCATAACAACACTCCCCACACCTGCATGCATAGATTCTGATTCTGTTCTATGATCTAGACAGCTAGGCTTTCCCCCCGTGTCTGCGGTAGAATAGCCCATCTTTCAGAGAGCACTGAACCACCCAAGTGAAAGATTCCTTTTCATAGCTCCCTTGGCATCTAACCATAACCAAATAATTGAGTTTCACCCAGAGGGATGTGAGTGAGCTTGGTTCTACCACCCTAACACATGCAGAGGGGGCATCATTCACAACGTGAGCAAACTATAAGTAGAAGGGATGTTACAACTTCCACTGGAAGGGGCTTATTTGAACTCCATGCCCCCATCTCACTGCTGAGAGATTTAAGGGTTTGAACTGACTATGCCAGACTATACTTGACAATAGACTGTAGTCAGCAACCTCCTCTGTAGCAACTGGCCCTGAGGGTAGACCAGATGATCTTCTCTTGGAAAGGTTTCCCTTACTTTTCTGCTTCCTTCTACAGACATGGGTTAGCCATTGTGAGTTGTGGGCACTAGCGTGAAAGGAGATCGATTGTCCAATACTATAGAATTGTCATTTACCCTGGGCTGTTAGTGAGAAGCATGCACACCTGCAGGCACTCACATGCACACACGCGCTTGCACGCACACACTCACATCCCTACCTGGAGGAGCCTGTTTAGTCTCAGACCGAAGAGTCAAACTTCATCTATTTAAACTGTACTAATTTGGAGTTTGTGCAAGTTTGCCCTTGGGCAAAAGGGTACATTTGCACTGGATTAAAAATCAGTTTGCTGAGCAGATTCATGTACACTGGATTTTACTCATGTAAGCCAGGGTTTTTAAGGTACTTTAGCATCTTTCATTTGCATATCATGATTGATATGCTAATTAGAATAGACTCTGACCTATTCATTAATACTCAGAGGCTACTCGACCTGGGAATGCTTGTAATATAAAAGAATGAAGTTGAATTTGGGCACACAGCATTCAGAGTTTTCATTAATTCTGACTAGACTCTCCCTCGTCAGGATAAACAAGTGAATTTCACACTCTTTCTTGAGTGTTGCTTTATGTCCTCATGTGATTTTGCCTCCCTTTGGACACAGTTTTGGCCCAACCAGGGGCCAGAACACAGGACACCAAACATGTATGGATGGGAATATAAGGGTACTTGATTCATGTCCGCACATAAGCCATCCCTCCGTCATAGGGTTTCTTCTATGTTACCCCTCCTTGCCCACAGGGCCAGAAGGGGAAATCTTGTGGAATGGGCATCTTAGACCACAGCCTGTCTTCTGATCTCCTGTAAAGTGCTCAGGGCAGATCATGGGCCAAGAAACAGAATTGAATATCTTAGGTTTTGCATCCTCCAATCTTGGAAATCAGAAATCTCTGGACATTCCTGTTCATGCCCCTAGGCCTGACACATACATCCACCCATTCATGCATCCATCCACCAAGCATCTGCTAAGCACCTATTACATGCTGGCCAGATACTACCTCGACCCTCAGGGAGTTCACAGTCTGTGATTTAGACAGATAGCTACACAAACAGTGATAATCAAACGTGATAGGAGCTGCCACTAAGACGCGTATAAAGCAGATGACTCAGCTTAGTTGGGGAAGTTTCCACAAATATCAGCTGGTGCTTCTGGCGTGGTATATTATAGGAGCATGGGTTTCCATCAGCTGGAGATGTGTGGGAGGAGCACAGAGACAAGGACCTAGAGGCTTGAAATAATCAAAAACCATCTTGTAACAGTGAGGTTGGAGCAGAGGGCCAGGGAGATGAACCAGTGAGTGTAACTGGGATTGTCTTGGGCATCATGCTGGGGAATTACTATTGTATTCTGGGCTGTGACACCAACTGCCCTCAGGGGCCAGAGATTACATAAATCAGTGAGAGGGATTAGGTAGGTGGCAATGGAAAACTGGGGAGCACAGCCCCTTGCAAAGTCAGCAGCCAGTTGTCGCCATATTGGACTTCAGACTCAGTATAGCCAAGTTTCCATTCAAAATGAAGAAGCTGGAAATTCAAATTTTTTATATGGACAGTCCCTGGTGTCGGAGGTTATTTCAAGACATGCTGACTAAGCAAACATAGGTCTGGTGTCTTGTCAGCCCCCGCCTCTAGTTCGGCACTTTGGCTGTTAAACTTAATCTGAGACTGACAGATGAGATTCACACTTCAGAAAGATGTCACCGCAGATCCCCATGTGATGTTTCTGCCCCAGCCTCTGTCCGCAAGAAATCTTTTCCCATTTCTCTGCCTTGCTTCTTGCCCCTGCCATCTTTGCACCCCTCAGTGCCCCCCAGGCCACCCCTGTCCCTTCCTGCCTTCCAAACCACCCACAGCACTAATCCTACCTGGCAGGGGAGGAACAGAATGAGGGAGCTGTGTGCCGGCTCAGGACACAGAGAGAAGCCCAGTGGTAAGGACACGAGAGCCATATTTATTTCACATGGACAAGCATGATTCCATCGCATGCCGAACATGAAAGCTCGAGTGAGGAAAGTACCCGTAACAGCAGGAATATGTGCTTTAGTCCACAGAGGGTGTGGAGAGTCACAGAGCGGTTTCCAAAGACGGTTACCCTGCGGGCAGAGCTGAGCGCATAGGCTTTGAACCTCGGGTTTATTTCATCATCAAGCCACCTGTCTCCTAGGAGTGACCAGGGGCTGCTTCGGGCCCTGCAACCTCTCCATGAGCGGCCAAGGTCAGGAGGACGAGCTCGGTTTCCATCCTGTGACACAGGGCTGCTTGGGAGACAAGCTGGGGGAGGTTCATGCCACTCGGAATGAACAGGCCCGCCGGGGGTGAACGGTGCCAGCAACAGCCTGCGGTGTTCATAGCGAGAGCCCGTGCGGCTGATAAAATCTATGGTAAGTGGGAGATCCACTCTTCTTAAAGCGTGTTCCCAGGGCCTGCTAGGGCTGGAGGGAAATGATTTGGAATTGACTGACCACACCAGGAACAGATCAACTTGCCTAGACAGCCAGGGGAGCGCTCGTGGCGGGGGTCTCCCCACCCGCTCGTCTCTTGGCCTTGGCTGTGCAGGGAGCCTGGGTGGGAAGGGGGGCTGAAGCCTGGCTTCGCTGCGGGCAGAGGATGACAGACTCTAAGGGCGAATCTCGCGCGGGGGAGAAGCGGGAGAGCCCTGGCTTCGCGGGGGTTCATTCCCACCGGAAGTCCTGCCCGACAGTTTCATAAAATTTAATATTATAAGGTCTATAAAATTCCCGGAGCTGGTCTATCACTTCAGGATCGATCTGTACATGAGTTCTGCCTTTCGATTTGCCCAGGCATCGAGGCAGGAGGCTCGATTCTGTTTTTTTCAAGCAAGGGAAACCTTTGGTCTTGTTGAAGTAGAAGTGCTTGTCCGTGATGAACCTCTTGATGCCCAGGAAGTCCTGAACGCGCCCCATCTCGCCGGCCGGGTCGGTGATGAGCCGCTCGCCGCTGACGAAGTGGATCTGTGCCAGGGGGAAGTAGCGCAGCCAGCTTTCGAGGTGCAGCGCGTACATGCCGATGCGGATGGCGTTCCAGGACACGTCCACCAGGCCCAGCGTGCGGTTGCGGAAGGACAAGCCCTCGAAGGTCGGGATGTCCGGCTTCTTGGACAGCGTCTGGGTGTAATCAGAGATGGCGCGGGTCACCGGGTTCCGCACCACCACGATCAGCTTGGTGTCTCGGGACATGTTGAAGATCCGGCGAGGGGCCTCTTGGGTGACGAAATAGCTGGGAGTCTTCTCTAGGGTGATCTGACTCTCGAGGGTGCGGGGCATCAGACTCCTGTGGGCAGAAGAAACGAGTCATCAGACTGGGGGTGGAGGGAGTGGGGGGAAGCCCAGGAGGTCTTTTCCCTCCGTCCAGCTGGCTCACTTGCTCCTACCTGGCGAGGAAGCCATGGTAAGATGAGTCCTTAGCAAGTCTGATGTCTACAATAGAGTAGTGTCATCTAGAATCACTGTACTGCACATTAGATCTCCAGCCAGGAACCCACTTGAACGCATGTTGATGTTTAAACAAATCTTTAACAGGTTTGCTTTACACAACACCACCTGAATGTCCATCTGTATGGGTTTTGAGAAATGACAGACCAGCTAATTAATAGAGCTGGGTCGATCTGCGTTGAATGATTTCTGAGAGAACGCGTTCAATGAAAGAAGCGAGATTGGGCCTCTCCTGGGAAGGATGCAAGAGAAGTGGGTAAAAGCAATTGCTTCTGGGGAGGGAACTCGAGTGGGAGCAGGGCCAGGGGGTCAGGGATAAATGAGAATAGCTTTTTATTGGAAACCTTTTATGCTGCTTGAAACTTTTAATGTGTTTATTACATATTCAGGACAGTACAAAGGAAACTAGTAAGTATTGTTCTGGCAAAAGATACTGCGACTATATTAAGGAAATCTTTTTTTGGGAGAAAAGGCTGTTTAGAGAACTAGTGCTAGTAAGGATCTTAGATATGAGTTCTTATCTCTTTTCCTGCTGGCACACATCTGAAAAGCATCCTTGGAATAAGCCCGAAGATGCTCAGAACCCTGGTAGATCAGGACCTCAGTGTGAAGACTGGGAGACAACCGGTCACTCTCGACCCCAGGGCTGAGAACATCTCTGCCTGGGGCATGAAGGGGTGGGGTGGGAAGGACTGACGTCTCCTACCCACGGGTATCTCTTTCAGGCCTACACGGAGGGGAAGGCCACTCGCTCCTTGAGGTCATGCGCTATCTTGAACTAGTTGTTCTTAAACCTGGAATGATATAGACTACCCAAGGGATGAAAAATCACAGATGTCCAGACCTCTTCCTCGACCAGGTGATTGAAAAATCTGGGAGTGGGTTCTTTGGGCAAGTTCCTCAGATGACTCAGAGAAGGCAGAGCTGGGGGATTTGCTCCTTCCCAGGGCCAGCCCCACGTAGTCCTGTTTGCGTTCCTGTGGAAGGTGCCTCCTGCCTCCTCATCTCCCTCCTGTCTCTGATTATCATCTCTGGCCAACAATCTGGTCTCACACAGTAATTTGATCAAATATATCCATTTCCACTTCCCATTTTGCATCTCCTCCTCATGGCTATGGCCAAACCTTGGGTCCAGCTCTCAGAGTCACCCTCATTCTAAAGTGGTTCACTCTCAATCTCCATGCCAGCACTAGGTAGCGGGCTGAGTGGTGACCCTCCAAAAGAGAGGGCCAGGACCTATGGATGTGAACGTATTTGGGGAACAGTAAGTCAGTTAGGGGTCTTGGGATGAGACCCTCCTTGGTTAGGTTGAGTCCTAGACCAACAAGGTGTAGAGGGGGAGAGACACAGAGAAGAAGGCAGCGCATGAAGTGATATATCTTTATGCCAAGCAATGCCAAGGATTGTTGGCAGTCAGCAAAAGTTCCGAAACAGCATTTTCTTCCTTAGAGTCTCCTGAAGGAAATAACTCCACTGACAATTTGTTCTTAGACTTCTGGCCCCCAAGAGTGTAAAAGAAATTTCTGTTGTTGCCAGCCATCCAGTTTGTGGTAATTTGTTATGACAGCCAGAAAAAATTAATATAGATGACAGCCCTATTTCTTCCCACCTTTCCACAGCCTCCAACTCATTTTACCTGATCTTCAAATTCATCCATGATCCTCTGATTGCACTTTCTCTATACCAACCATTTCAATAACGGAGATGCTGTCTTCTTCATCTGCTTCCTTGAACTGTTTGCTCTCGGTTTGTAATAATGCATCCTCCTAACCTTTCGCCCTTTCTGTCTTTAGGTTGCCAAACAGCAATAGAGAAAAAATTGCTGACCCGAACAACTGCATCCTTTCTATATTTATCAATTCTGCCTTCGAGGGCCCCTGGCACTGCTCAATAATCTTTTATATTTGTCATTGCAGGCCTTCCTCTCAGTCTTCAGAGTCAGTGTTCAGCTTTTTCTCATCACAAGCTCCAACTCTACTCCTGCATAACCCTAATACACAGAACAGTCTCCTCTACATGGATAGATGTGAGCTGTCTCCCTCCTCTCCTTCTCTTGAAGCTGTTACATGCATTGCTTTTGCTAGTCTCAGAAGGCAAGGTAGGCAGGGTTCACCTGTTGGCCTTTGCCCTGACCCTTCCCCCTCTACCTTCCTCGCACACCTAACCATTATCCCCTCAGGACTGCAAATTCATCATGCACCTTATAGGCTGCTTCCAGAGCCAAAGTCTATAATGGGTCTCAGTGAACTGAAAATTCTAATCGTACGTCTTAATATTGAGTAGTCACTCGTCATTTCAGTAGGGTATCATTATTAGCAAACATTTGGAAGTGCACATGAATAGAATTCTTTGGCCCTATTTTCTTAGAAATCTGGCTATCTTGTATGATGACGCTGGCATAAGTTGTAATTAATTAGGTGTTGACATCTGTGATGATAGATGAAACCATGTCACAGTGATTGAAACCTTCCAAACGTCAGAGGGGTTATTGATATAAAGCTGAGTTCTTTGCAGTATCCTGTAATGCACTAAAGACTATGTAAGAAAAGAATTGGGGGTGCAGCTTTTTGCCAGCTTCTTTGGCTAGGCAGCTATGAGCTTTTGCCAGGAGCACTGATGAACACATCAGTTTTTCTTACTGGTTTAGAATATTCTGGCCAATTCTGAACAGCTTTAGCGTATCAGTCAGGCCCCTGGCTGTGCACTCATGAGGAAGCTTCACCTTCCTTATTCCTAACTGGCATATCAGCTGCGAACCAAATTACAATTACTCAGGAAGACACAAATACCAGGCTGTAAACAGCGTCATACACACAATGCCCCCCTGGGGTGCAAGTGACAGCTGTGTACTTCAGAAGTTCCTGTCCCAGCCAAGGCACACTTACCCCTTTATTCCTCATTGAAAAAGAAAACTGAGCCCTATGTGATGATATGTGCAAGGTGATTATAGACACATATACACACATGCATTACATACATATATCACACCCGTGTGACGACACACATTATGCACACGCTGTTGTCTGATCTTGTCTACTTCTCTGCTCTGTGCCCATGCAGGGGGGCAAGTGTAAGGGTGGGGTAGAACCAAACTTCCTGAAGGTTCTTTTTCCTCCTTACATCACAGTTTCCAGTTTGGGTACTTGTTTCCAGTTGCTGGCAAGCAAGTGAGCATTTCCCTCTCCCCACCACCCCCTTAATCGTCCCCCTCTTTTCTTCTCTGTGTAACTTTGCAAGATTTCCTGCAAGAATCATCCAACACACGGCCTGCACTCACTGCACATCTGTTATTTTAATCTGATCAGCAGCCGTTTTCCCTGCATCTGGTAACAGCCCCCAGGGGTTCCTTTGGGGGCACTAACCACTTCTGCTTTGGATAAAATTTTAGCAGATGGGTTGGGCACATGACGGAAGTTAGGCCAACTATGTCATAAACCAGGGCCAATTAAGTCATAAAGATGAAAAATGCATCTTAATGATTGACATGGTGGGACTGACTCTGTCAGCCAGGCATAGCCTGGAAGAACCTCCTCATCAATTTCTGGGGCTAAATCCCTCTGCTCTCTTGGTTCTCGCCATTTCTGAGACCTGGTTCTATATTCCTCAGTGTTCTCAGTCACTACATTTCCTTTCATTGCGTTTTTCCAGTAAGTTGTCATAACTGGCTTCCGTTGCTTTCCACCCGCATACTCAAGCCTACCTTTTACCACCCGGCTTCCTCTCTGTGGAAAGCACAAAGCACGTTCATCCCACTGAGTTATAAGCACAAGGACCCGCCCGCTGCTCCCCTCAGCAGCAGATTTCAGTGGATCTGCTTGTTCTGCTCCCCACTCTGTCTCTGATGAATCCTCTCACCCCCTGCACCTCCGGCCTGTACCCCAGTTCTGTATGCAGAAATAAATCTTTAAAAAAATAAACACCACAAGGGCAGGTCAGGGCACCTTATTTCTGCCTCCAGGGTCTGCCACAGTCAATGACAACAGCAAAGTGAGTGTCCATTTGTGCCATCAGTATTTCTTGAGTGAAGGCTGCAGTGTTACCTTGACACAGAGACCCTTCAGAATCCTCAGTTCTCCCCAGAGTACTCTGGGTCCTCCCACCGCCTGCTCTCACTTCTCCTCATTCTGCATGTTTCCCCGGGTGACCTCACTCCTTCCCAGTCCTTAACCACCCCCCGAGGAGCTGCTGGCTTAAAACCTTGTGACTGCAGATCAAAAGAAAACGCTCGCATGTTCCAGACCAGGCTATGCCTCACTGCTGCACCGGGACGCGTCACTTTCCTCCCCTGTCTTCTCTATGCTGCCTGTGTGCACGGATGCTCTCCCACGCTTCCACTCACAGAGCAGGACCCTCAGGGCCATTCTGGACTCCTTTTGCATCAAGGTCTTTACTCCTGTGAGTTCTCAACTCTTGCTTCCCTCTAGGGTGTTTGTACCCAACCACAACTTGTATCTCCTCTCTGGTCATCTATCCCCGGGTGACAGATTCCACGCTGAACCCCATCTTCTGCTCTTTTCCCTTTCAGTCCATTCTGCATTCGGCATCACCAGGAAAACCTTTTTCAAGCACATCCGATCATCTTTTTTCTTTTATAAAGGGGGAGCACGAACGCAATGCCCCATGACCACAAATGGTACAGTCAACTTTCACTATTTGGGGAAATTGCAGAGGTCAGCACATCTGGAATGCAGTGGAGAGCCTTGCCCTGGGGAGGTCACCTTCGAGATCACGGTGTCTCCTGGCCAGGTAAGGAAGCAAACCCAGGCTTGTCGGCCATTATTCCGTTGAATAAAGTGCGTGGTCCTCAGGACCTCCGCCTGCCTCTTAGAATTAACATGT